TCACCTCGAGAATAGTTTCAAAAGATGTAACATAAAAGGACGTTCTCCAAACGAAAACTGATGACGGTGGCACGAGCAATAAAGCAAGAGCCAGTGACGTAAATGCTTTGTATAAAATGCAAAATATGATGCAGAACATGCTAGATATGATGGACAAAATCTCTCAGAGATTGGGCATTTTAGAGAGCGAAAGGAAAAAATCGAATACTAAAAGACCTGGTAAATGATGGCACGAGGTAATTTTAAAATAGCAATATGGAATTGCAATGGTATTGCAAATAAAAAGGACATGCTTGAAGTTTTTCTACATACAAAGAATATAGACGTGTGCCTCGTAACTGAAACACATATGACCTTAAGAAGCAGAATTCGGTTTCCAGGTTATAGAATGTTCAACTCGAACCACCCTGGAAATATAGCGAAGGGCGGAACGGCGATAATAATAAAAGAAAATGTGGTGCATTGCGATCTGCACCAAATGCAACCGAGGGAATGCAAATGGCAGCGGTTCAGATCACTTCGACCAAGCAAAAATTTAGAGTGGCTGCATTATATTGTCACCCCAGATTTAAAATTACCGCAGAAATGTTTCAAAACGTTCTGACAGACCTAGGCGATAGATTTGTATTGAGGGGTGACTTTAACGCCAAGCACACTGATTGGGGTTCAAGGCATACTTCAACTAGAGGAAGAGAACTTAGGACAGCAATTGGCGGCACGGGGTGCCATTTTCACTAGACTGCGAAGCCAACGTATTGGCCAACCGATGTTAATAAGTGTCCAGATTTAAGAGATTTCTTCATAACGAAACGGATTGCGAAAAATTTCATCGAGGTACATGATAACTACGATCTTGACTCCGATCATTCGATGGTTATTCTTGTACTTAAGGAAAATATAGTTATGAAAAGAGCGAAACCTGCGCTGACAAATGGAACTACAGATTGGTCAAGATTTCGCTTAGAGATTGAACGTCAAATAGATCTAAGGAAAAGAATAAGAACAACCCAGCACATAGATGAGGAGGCCGAAAACTTTACTAAAATTATTCAAAATCCGGCTTGGAGTAGTTCCAAAATTAACGTTATTAATAGGGGGGGCATTAACTATCCCCCACATATACTAGCAAAAGTAAAGCGAAGCAGGCGGGCGAGAAAAAGGTGGCAGCAAACGCGTGATCCTGCTGATAAAACCAGATATAATCATGAATCGCAGCAACTAACACGCTGTATTAGAAAATACAAAGAGGATTCGGTTGCTGATTATGTTCAAAATTTGACGGCGTGTGAGAAAACCAAGTATTCACTGTGGAGGGCAACAAAGAAAATGAAGCAACCTATCAAAGCGTGACTATTCCAATTGTCAAGGAAAGAGGTGTTATTGAAGAAATCAGGACTCTTAAAACTAAAAAGTCCCCAGGATTTGACCTAATAACGGCCGATATTTTGAAAGAATTACCCAAAAGAGGTATAACGATGATTACGCGCCTAATAAATACGTGTATAAGGTTCAATCACGTGCCTGAAATTTGGAAAGTTGCAGAGATAATCATGCTGCACAAACCTGGCAAACCTATAGATAGGGCGACTTCTTATAGACCAATCTTATTCTTGCCGATGATTTCAAAACTGCTAGAGAAACTTTTATTGAGAAGACTTCAGCCTATAATTGAAAGTAAAAGATTAATCCCGAATCATCAATTTGGTTTTCGCCGGAACCACTCAACCATAGATCAGATTCATAGAATAACTGACCTAATTGAAAATTTACTGGAAGAAAAAACAATATGTTCTACCATATTTTTGGACGTAGCCCAGGCCTTCGATAAGGTTTGGCATTGTGGATTAATAAAAAAACTTAGGCGATTACTACCAAGGCAGTATGTACGCAACTAGGGCCAGTGATGAGATTTCAAAATGGACTAGAAAGAGGAATATAAAACTTAACAAGGTGAAATCAGTACACGTAAATTTCACTAATAGGAAAATTGACAATTCATTTTCGGTTCGGATAAATGGCGTCTTAATTTCGTCTGAAAACACGGCGAAGTATTTGGGAATGACGTTGAACGCGAAGCTCAGATGGAGGGAGCACACAAAGAAAAAGAGATCTCAACTGGAGGAGAAATACAGAAAGTTTGAACGGCTTTTGGGGAGGCGTTCAAAATTGACAATATACAACAAAGTTTTGATATATAATCAAATATTTAAGCCTGTCTGGGCTTACGGTATTCAGTTATGGGGCTGAGCTGCGCAGACTCATATCCAATCTATACAAAGATTTCAAAATAGGGTATTACGGGACATTGTAAACGGCCCTTGGTATGTCCGTAATGCCGATATACACAGGGATCTAACGATCCTAAGTATCACAGACGAAATTAAAAAGCAAGCAGCCAATCATAAAATGCGTTTATTCAATCATGTCAATATCGAGGCGGCTCGATTGGTTGACAATCAAAACTTTGTTAAGAGACTTAAACGTACGAGACCTCTCGAGTTAGTTTAAAGTTTTTTATCTGGAACAATGAGTACTTAGTACGCTATTGTGCCAAATCAAAAGCTTGTAAATAATCAAAAAAGTGAGAGCAAAATTAATGGTTAGTCGTTTCCGACTAGTTTTATAGCTTATTTTGAGGAGGGTGTTTTTAGTGGATTAAAGTTCCACACTACTGCTTTTCGTCTGGCAGTGTCTTTCTAAATTTTCCACCCTTCCTCTGGTTAAAAAAAAAAAAAAATATATTTTTTAACCCTATAATACGTATATCTTATTTTTTTTTTTTTGAAATAAATTTTAAAATTTAAGAATTGTTAACCAAAAAATCAATATACTAATATGCATAAATTCCAACTAAAGCTTTCTTATATTCAAATAAAAGTATAATTTTGCATTTTTTAACTTTAATTTAATAATTTCAGTACAATAAATATTTTTCGGTCTTCTTTCCAAAAAAAAAAAGAATTCTAATTCTAATTAGGGTTAAAAATTAGATAAGGAAAAATGACAATACAAAAATGGCCGTCCCCAACAACTAGACTTATAAAGGAATTCTTTTAAGAACAAAATTCTATGAGAGTTGACATCTTATAAAAAAATACTTTATGAGAATTAAAATTTTTTATGGCTTGCTGAAAGTAGTTTTGCAAGTGCTAAGTCTGTATTATAAGAACCTTACGAGGGTTGCATAAAAACAAAAAAAAGAAAAAAAAAAATATGAGAGTATGCAGTGTGGTGTGAAAGTTTTATGAGAGTTTTGGTAAATTTTTTAGGGTATTACTCTTGGAAATTGTTACTTGGGATCTCTCCACCCTCTAAAACCCTAAAAACGGCATTTTTCAACTATTTGTTGCAATGAAGCCATAAACATTTTTCATATTTTTCAAAAGCAGCAAAATTGTATCTTCTTCTATCGAGGCACACCATTTCTGAACTTTAAAAAAACAAAATGGCGGTTGAAATTTACCGTTATCTAAAATCCGTTTTTTCCAAATTTTTAATGCCGTTTTTCTTCTACACCGTACGCTATAGGAGTCTGAAATTTAAGCAGCTCTTAGATATTTATAAATAGTTTATTTCGTTAGAAGAAAATTTTTTTCCCATATCCACCCCCTCTCAAGTTATCGCCTCTTGAAATTTGTAAAATTTGAATTTTTGGCGCCTTATATTTCTGAAACCGCAGGTTTTTTCAAATTTCTATAAACGCAAAAAGCTAATGGTAAGTTACGTGTCATTAAAAAATATAATTATTTTTCTTAACTCACACAATTAACCCTTAAAATCGAGCATCATGTGAACCCCTTCTGCATAAATCGTTCATCCTAAATGTATGCAATCCTAGAAATTGTTTCGTACATGAATGAAAATAATTTTAATAGTGTGGAAAATAGTTTTAAGAGTGATAGACTATATTAAGTAAGTGCAGTATTTTATTTGTTAAAGGGAAAGGTGCTACAATACAAACCATTGGTTTGACCCAACTTTATTTCAATTACAATTAGTACCAATCAGAACTGAACAAGTTCACTTATCTAGTTTTAAATGTTTTTAAACGTGCGTTTTACTCATATGAAAATAACCAAAATGAGTATGTGCAGATGTTTCATTTTCAATTTAAAACGAAATGGTAAAAAAACTAGAATACATTTTTGTTTCAAAAAACATGACATATCTATACCTTCTTAGAAAATTTTATTATCTCGAGAAGTGAATAACAGTTAGTTTTTAATTTTGTTGGAAAAATTTTTAGAAGAATTGGTTAGTTATAACGCTCTTCAAAGATTATTTTTAAACTCCTATAAAAATTAATTTTTTTTTCTTGCCTTAAAAAGCGCTTTAAATTTTAAGTAATACTGCAATCATAACTTTGCTTTGTCAAAAGTGTAGAAAACATGTTCTGATAGAAAACCCTAGATATGTATGTATATAGAATAATAAATATGAAAGTTAATAAGAATTAGAAAACAAAACTAAACCAAAGATCATGCAATCCAGTATGTAATTTCACCAATTATAATTTCCATTTCTTTTAAAAAATTTTTTGTGAAAATTTTTAATCACTCGTCGATCAATTTGCTAGTCGATCAATTTACCGAAGCTATGTATGTAAGTATATATATAATAATTAAGAAATATATTCGTAGGGGATTTGTATTGTCAAGGAAAAGTAATAAAGTAATAAATAATATAGTTGTCAAATTGAAAATATAAACTTAATAAGTTTTTGGGCTTGCTTTAAGCCGTTGAATGTAACAAGTGAGATATTTTTGCATAAACAATATTTATAATATAAAATATTACGCATAATCTTTTTCCTACTTAAAAATGTTAATAGTACCTAGAATATTAATTGCAAAATTCCTGCCTGTTTAAAAGTTTAGACTAGAATTCGACAAAATGTATTTTTTGACTAAGGTCATTTTTAACGACTTCGAATCACACTTGTTTCGTACATGTTTTTCAGTAGTAAAATTTAAAAAAAAATTGTAAATCAAAAAACTTACATCGCCTTCAAAAGCCGTCAATTTATGTAAAAATGACGATCGTTTCTGCGATAATATATCTTTGAACATTGCTGAGGTCGTGTGAGACTCTTGTGTTTCACCAATCGAAAACTTTCTGCGTAGATTTTTTTCTACTGTTGTTTTAACTGAATTATTTGTTTTCGTAAATGGATTTTCTGTCGGGCTTTGAGGTGAATTCAAAGTTTCTCTGCTTCCATATGGTGAATTGCTTTTATTTGAAGGTATGTTTATGTCTCCAGTCTCTGATAACTCATGGCACCAATAATGCGTATGGCATATTTCCATCATATGAAAAACTGACGCCATTCCTCCAATGCCAAAATTCGAAAAACTATGCTCAAGTCCAAGCACAACAGCAAATAAACATTTCAACATTCCCTTTCCAACAGACTTGGGTATCAACTGGAAATATAAATGCTAGTTTATGTCATATATAACTGTTTTAACATTTTCAAAATAGTTTTTACCACATCTATAATATTGTCGTCCGGACCAATCTTCTTATCAATAGTTTTATTTATTTTATTCAGTACAAACATTCGATATGACTCGTCTTCCATCAACTTTCGCAAACGATTTAGTTTCAACCAACCAATACCATCCCCAGACATAACTTGATTAATTATGTCTTTCAAAAATGTTTGATTCTCAAAGTCACTTTGAGACCTTTCTTGATTTTGAATTCTTTGTATATCTTCCAAAGTTTGTTTAGGACTTGAATGTTTTATTAAGGGAGTTCTTTCTACTAAACCTTTACGTACTGGAAACATATCAAATGACATACCAGGATTATTTTGATTTTGCTGTTGATATTGACCTTTTCGAAATGATGGAATATCTTAATTTACTAAATTAAGTTTGGTATTTGTAACTTACTTTTTGTTCCAAAAAGATCTGAAAATATGTTGCTTGTTGAAGATGCTATACCATTTAAATCACTACCAATTGATGAAAAGAAGTCCCTACTTGTGTTTTGCGTTGACCTGGGTTGCATTAATGTATTTTCCACCTGATGTGACTGTTCACTAGGTTTAATTAACCTTTTTTTTGACGCAGCTTCTTTTGCTGTTCTTGTTAGGCCCCCAATTGTGGATTTACCAACATAAGTTAAGTCGCCCAAAGTATTTTTACTAACGCCAATTGCCTGCTTAGAAGCTTCTTCGGCTTGTTTTTTAACGTGCAACGTCAACTTTATCATTATTTTTATAAAAATTAAGTGTTAAATATTAAACGGAACCATTGAACCAAAAAAACAAGTTTGAATATTATTTGATAGAAGATATTATTTTATTTTTCATTATTCAAAATTTCTAACACATCTTCTTGCGAAAGTAGAAATAATTGTTATTGAAGTTTGGAAAACTTTGGGCTTATTTTCAAAACTTTATGTTTTTCGGTAAGGTTCATGTTTTTACAAAAGTATATATATGTAAATTTATCATTAATTACATATAAATTAATGATTAATCATAATGAACATAGCGTCTGGCAACATCTTGAAACTGATTAGAATATTATTAACTTTGTTTAATTTATAGTCAGTCAAAGTGGCAATCACCTACTATTAGGATTATATATATTTATTATACAGGGTGGTATAATAAAATTACATATCGCAACTGGTTTAAAAGCTCTCGAGTGTGATTTCTTGGAATTTATTACGAAAAAAATTTTTCGTATATGGGAGAGGAAAAGTCAGATCCCTTGGGGTGGAGAGTTGAAGAAAATCGGATTGAAAAAATTCTGACCGATATATCGTTATAACAACTTCGGAGCTGAGCAAGCAATATGTTAAACTTTTTTTCTTCTAAAACTACCACTAGACGTTCGAGCTTCCCTCTTTGCTACAAGAAATTTTTTTCCAAAAAAAACTCCCAGGAATCTGGGATAATTAATAGATATAATTAGAATTAATAGTTTTTAAATTAATAAAATAATAGTTTTTAAATTAAATAAATAATAGTTTTTAAATTAATAAATTTTTTAAGGTGGTCCAGGTCGAAATTCTGGACCACCTTAAAAAATTTATTACACAAATTTGTTGCATTTACATATAAAATCTGATCACTACCAATCTGATTAGCATTTTTTTAAAGAAATTAGCAACGTTTTTAGCACTTTTCCAAAAAAATTTTTGAAAAAAGTGCTTATTAGTTTCACTCTGTCCGTCCGTCCGTCCGTCCGTCCGTCCGTCCGTCCGTCCGTCCGTCCGTCCGTCCGTGGACACTTTTTTTGTTTACAAAACTTCTACACCCTTGAAGATAGAAAGCTGAAATTTCATACGTACATAGACCTTCACTAGAAACTTATTTCTGTGGAACAAAATTTTTACCTATCTCCCCCCGTTTAGAAGTTATACCCCCCCAAAACCCTAAAAATGGCCTTTTTTAAATATTTGTTGCAATGAAACCATAAGCATTTTTGAAATTTTTCAAACGCAGAAAGGCAGCGGCTTGTTTCCCCTAGAGCGGTATACTATAGTTAAACTTTAGAAAAACAAAATGGCCGTTCAAATTTACCGTTATCTACAGTTATTTTTTTCCAAATTTTTGATGTCGTTTTCCTTCTAGACCTCAGTCTGCAGAAGCTTGAAATTTTAGGGGCTTTTAGACATTAACAAACAGTTCATTTCGTTGGAAGAAAATTTTTTTCCATCTCCACCCCCTCTCAAGTTATCGCCTCTTGAAATTCGTAAAATTTGAATTTTTGACACCTCATATTTCCGAAACCGCAAGTTTTTTCAAATTTTTATAAACGCAAAAAGCTAACGGTAAATTCCATGAAATTAAAAAATATAATTATTTTTCTTAACTCACACAACTAACCCTTAAAATCGAGCATTATGTTAACCCCTTTTTATATTAATTTTTGATTTATTTCAAAGACTGCATATACTCGTATGCGTCATCCTAAATATAGGCAATCCTAGAAATAGTTAAATATGAATGAAAATAGTTTTAATAGTGTGGTAGGTACACATAGACTGTATTTAAAAGCAGAATTTTTACTTGTTGAAGGGAAAAGTGCTACAATACAAACCATTGGTTTGACCCAACTTTATTTTATTACTAAATTTGCGATATTCGGTTGAATTTTATTAGCAGTTGTAATTTTTAATATTTTTAATATTGATTGAACATGTTAATCTTGATCTTTGTGCCGTTTTATTATTTGTTAATATAGAAAACAATTGTTCGCTCAAATATGTGCTTCCGAACATGGCTAAAACATGCTTAATTGATTTATAGGTAAATAATTATGAAATTTAGTAATTTCCACTTTACTAAATTTTTGTTTCAATATACAATCGCAAAGCATTTCGATTTCAATTGTTAATTTGCGTCAAGTGTTTCAATATCAATAGAAAATAGAAAAGTTAATAGGTTTTTTTTCTTTCAAGTTCGACTTGTAAAAATGTATTCTGATTACAATACTCGGAAAATTTCAAATTTAAAAATATAAGAAAAATAAACTGGTTCAAATATACATATAAGTATTTCATTTACAGAGCAGTTGCTTTCCACTTCTCGAAACAAACTAACGTTAAATTCGGTTTCGGCTACGTTTTACATACAGTTGTGTATTTTTCGCATATGTATAAGTTTGATTTTTAGATGTGTGACAAACCCCTGCGAAACCTTCACTCTGGTTTAAACACTTTCATTCTGATCTAAATCAATATTTGATTAGGATTGAGAGCTGCGAGCTGCGTGTTTCACATACCTGCTTTAGCACAAGAATGATTGCTATGTTAGTATACACCTATGTTTAATAGTTCTTTGCAGATGTGAATGCCGATCGAAATATTATAGAACAGAATATTAAAACAGAATTATGAACAACAGAATTTAAAACTAATTATGAACAACAGAATATTAAAACGGTAAGAAATTTGATCTACACGATTAACTACATGATGAAAAATGTAGTCGATTTAAGATAAAGATTTAAAATTAAAATTTTTTAGAATTAAAATTTCTCTTTTCTAATTATAGTTTCGTCTGGAATAGCTATAGAATATAAACCAATAGAAATAGTAAAATTATATTTTGATAATATAAGCTTGTTTAAAACTTTAAGGTATTAAAATTTAAACTTTACGTTTGAATGTATCTTCATATAACGCTAAAAACTAACAAGCACTAAAATACAAAAAAGTTCGTTTAAACCTTGAAAAATTTATTTTTTAAGCAGCTATTATTTGATTTCAGGATGTAAGCCAAAGTTTTATTTTACAAATATTGTGCACCACATATTTATAAGTTGTTGGCACAAGCGCGTGCAGAATATTCTTTTTATTATAAAAAATATTGGAGTTCGACTACTTGCGTACCAAACTTTTAAAGAACACGATTTAGATTTTTTTAGCCTTATATACTAATTCAATTTATCTATATTGACACTACAGGCTAATCCGTACGCAAATGTTAACATCGATTAAACTACCTATGCATGTAGGTACATATTTATGTATCAAAATTGTGTATTGTATATAGAACTTATTGTGTAAGTACAAAAATTGTTTTCTGTGTATCATTATACACGATATTCCTACGCAACAGTTGTACATAACATTGTTGTGTCTCATAAAAATAATGAATTGAATATTTACCAACAACTTTTTACAGGTACTGATTTTAAATTTTTTCGTTTAAATTCCAAAATTTTTATTTTGAATTACATATAATATCAGCTTTTTAGTTTAAAAATTTAACTAATTTTCGTTTTGTTTGTCTAAATCTCCAACAATTAATTTTCATTATAATGTTATGATGTTAAATGTTATTTCAATAACAATTTTAATATTGCAGAATAGAAATAAAAGGAAAAATCGTTCAAAAGCATTAAATTATTTTATGTAGGTTTTCATTGTAATTTTTTATACTACTCTTTTTTTTGCATTTTCAAAATTTTCCGTTTAAAAAGATTCATTGGCTTAATTTTTGAATTCCGTACAGCAAACTTCCGTTAAGCAAGGGATGAGTATATATTATAGGTATGTTTATGTACATTTTGATTAGGCTATGTTATCATAGAAGTATTTATGAAGATAAATAAAAACAAATTTGAAAATTTGTGGAACAAATTTTTCTAAAAAACTAAGCTATTTTCTGTGTTAAAGTTATTTTCATTACTCTTCAATTCAGAATAGATAGCTTCAAATACAATAGCGATTTGAGACTCTGGCCAAAAAAAAAGTTAATAAATAAATATAGTGAACACATGTTTTAGTGAACAATGTGAAAAATTATTAATTGTGCTTCAAAACAAACAAACTTATATAATAATTATTAAAAACATTATAATGCATAATAATATTTTTGTGTGGATTTTAAACAATACATATTATTACAATATACCTTATCTACTTGGGCGAACAAACCGTCTTGGCTATTTTGCCAAGCCGAATCTCGAACTAGGCCTTTAGCTTGGGAAGTTATTTGATCAAATATAGAGTTTTGAGAATCTTGACTACCGCTGTTTGATATAAAACCACTATGTAATTTTGAATTTTCAATGGTTGAGTTTAGGGAACATCCTAATGTTGGTTGATCTTTTATACTTTCAAAGTTTGGAAACTAATAAAAATTTTTTATTTTAAGTTTTATAATCTACAATGGTAATTTAAAAATTTAACTTTTTCCATAATTCTGTTTTGAGTGTCAGAAGAAGCCTTGTATCCAATATCCATGGAAAAACTCTTCTCATTATTTTCATCTGCCGTGCTTTCCTTAAATAAGTCTGGAGAACTTAAATTAGATCTGCTCGATGAAGAAGACTGCGGTGAATATATTTGGTCATCACTTTTTTTTCTTTTATTTATATTAAGTCCATCCGGATATACTAATTCTTTTGGAGGATTGAAATATTGAGAAAGACTTGATTTAAAAAATAAATCCTGAAAATGTATTTAAAATAGAATTAATAGATTAATTGTTTTTAGTGCAGATATGTGTGTATTTAAGAGTATTGTACATATTTGGTTTGTATTTTTATATAAGCAGTAATACATGAATTTTATAGCGATTAAAGTTTAAGTCTAATGTAAAAATTTTTTTCTACCATATTTTGACTCTTTATTCATGTGGTTTAGAGCTAAAACCAAACGTATTAAAAAAAACATACTGCAAACTCGCCTAAACACAGTACTCCTCTAAAACTCAGTATAACTTGAATTTAATGGTAAAAATAAGGGAAATGCTATCACATACTAATTATTGTTGTAAAATAACAATAATTAGTTTGCTAAATATTATTATTTTATACTAATTATTATTAAATTAATAAAAATTATATTTTTTTCAATTATATTTAGTTATTTAAAATTTATATTTATATTTATTATATGTTACGAGTATTCCAAAATTATAATAAAATTATAATAAGTATTTTTGGAATTTTTTAAGAAAACCTCTATATTTACAGTGCCGGTTCGGACACCTGAATTTTGGAAGTATGAATCGGTTGTATTAAAAGTATGTGGATCTAAGATTGAAATTGACCACTAATCAGACTAAGAAAAATTAGAAACCTATAAGATTAAAAAATAATTTTATTTTTCAACTTAAACCGACATAGGTTTCACTTAAGACTGATTTTACAATATTAATTCCAAATTATTTATAATAATTTTTAGCTTAGGTTAACAATTTTATATTTGATATTTAAAATAATTGATTTTACAAAATAAGCATAATTAACATTTCATAATGTGGGAAAATTACTTTAAAAACCATAAAGCGGATGCGCGTGTAAAGTTTTGTGAGAATTTAGTTGAAGTTTTATTCCCATAAGTGTAAAAGTGCTGACTTAGCATATTAGCTGTTATGTTGGCTGTTAGCTGTTATGTTAACTCCTCCCCCTTTAAAGATCCACGTCTCGTGGATTGGAAATTCAAGGTGGTAGGTTGTAATCCAGTTTGGCCTGTTTCGCTTGTGTAATTTATTGGAGGCAAGACCCATTTCCTGCGATGATTGCGATGATTCTTGAGTAGGATGACCAAAAGTATAATGATGATAATCGGCCAACCGATGATGTTGGTGACAATAAAGCTTTGTGAATTCGTGAAAAGTTTTTGAAGCTTCATGACATTTGTGAGATGTAGATTATTATATTTCGTGAAAAGTTTTTGAAGCTTCATGACATTTGTGAGATGTAGATCGTGCAAGTATCTCAGGTTGAGTTTGATTCCCTTCTCAGTATTGTTCGATCGCAAAATTGGTGGTAAGATTTGTGACATTTTGACTTCTTTGTTACTGAACAGTTTGTCCTTAATTTGTAGAGATTCATTTTGATATCCTAGTAGAAAACTTCCTTGCAGATGTCTTGTTGAATTGTTACATATGATACTTCCATTGAAATTAGTCAAAAAGATAACGTTTTCGCTCAGTTGTTCGATGACTTCTTTGGTATTGAGTTCATATTCACATTTTGCATTAAGTCCCTTCGTTAGCTGGTAGATGCAATGATCCTTTTTCACGTCCTTTAGTTGTTTGCGTTCGCATATGACAGTATCCTTGAAGTTGTTACATTCCTTGACAATCCCTAGCATTTCGTTTTCATTGATTAGTAATTCTTCATATTCTAGGTGAATTTGCCTGCTATTATTGATTGTTGATCTTATAGCAATATGATTGTAATCTTTCGAGCTTGTCTTGGAGATTGCTGTTACATACAACAGTGTTGAGTTCTTCACCATTATCGCTGTGCATATTCCATTGCTTCTATTATATTGGAGTATGGAAGGGTTTCTAGCTCTGCTATCAACTGTGTAATTTCTGCTGTGTCTAACAAATTTGTGTTGATTATCCCATTTTTAGCAAATTGTACTGCCCGTACAATTTGGCAGTACAATTTCTTTCACTTCTTCCTTTATTAGATTTACTCTGTTGTAGGTTACTTGTGTGCCATCTAATTTTTCGCCATATTCTCTTATTTTGTTATATTCTTTCAGGATTTGATGAGTTGTCTTCATTAATGCTTCGTTTACTTTATATTGTTGGTTGTTGTTTTCAATGATGTTATTTTGGCTTGTCAATATTTTGTCCCAATCTTCTGCATCTGGGTTTCCTGCGATCCACTTCCATGCAGGCCCTATCCAGTTTATTGACCGTTTAACTCTTGGTGCAGCTTCTATAAGTTCTGCTATTAGCCTTTTAGTTTGGTTGCTGTTATAAATTAGCTGGTCTTTAATGGGATTGCCTGGGTCTAACTTTCGGATGTCCAGTGTTGTTTTTTCCAATATGTCCACATAGGTTGCCAAGTTAATTACATGTACAATTTTGAACGTGCCATTGATGACGCGGCCATTTCCTTTTTTGATTGATACCATGGGAGTGTTGTATTCGTATATATTGAGTGCCAATGCCAGCGTACAGATTTCTAAACTAAGGAATAAAAATAAAAGGATTAATTATTTGGTATGTTTTTTATATGCGAATTATGAATTCGGCGTCCTGAAGCTGTTGTTACAGTGACCCTATTATTCTTTGCAACTATTTCTTTTTTAAATTTCGGCTTATTCTTGCCCTGAATTTGCTTGACTGACGTGTAAATTGTATCTCCTGTTTCATATTCTTTAGGTTTGAGTCTTTTTAGATTTTCTCTAGTAACTTTGCTTTTTTGATTTCTTTTTATACGCTCCACAAGATCTTCGCTAACTTTTTCCTTGAAGTCCGTCAAATTTTGATAGTTAATACGCTGTATTCTGCCAAAAAAAATGTCACTTGGTTTTTTCTTCGTGACTAAGTGCACCGTATTGTTGTAACGATCTACAGCTATGTTTATTAGTTCCTTCATTTCAAGGTCCTCATATTCGTTCTTCAGACATCTAACGATTTCCATAATTGTTGAATGAACTCGTTCCACAGTCCCATTTACTTCACTTTTTTGCGATGGCGTTAAATAGATTTCGATGCCAAGTGTTTTTAAATAATCCGTAATTATAGGACTAATAAAACTTTTCTCGTTATCTATAACAAGTGTTTTGGGCGATGTAAAGTAATGAAGGATTTCGATTATTTTATCTCTTACCACTAGGACTGATTTGTTCTCTATATGAAAAAATTTTGCAAATTTAGAGAATTTGTCCACACATGTGATGAATTTTTCGTTTGTGACTTCAATGATGCCCATATGCAATATTTCCGTGGGATATGTTCGAATCGGTGTTTTTTGCAGTTCTGGTTTATGAGGGTGCCTGTCATATTTATTGGTGTTGCAGATTTCGCAGGTTTTGGTGTATTTCCTTATTAGTGCTGCCATTTGCGGGAAGTAGTATTTTTCGAGAATTTGATCTTTGTTCTCACTGCAGTTGCGATGTGCCCTACGATGTTCTTCTTGGATAATTCTGAATTTATTTTCTTCTTCTAGTATATCCTCTACCAATCTTTTTGTAATGCGAATTCTGTAATTTCTGAAATGATCAGTTCGTTAAGCATTTGAATATTTTGTTCCGGAATTTTAATGCCGTTAGTGGCTGCTGGATTTAGTCTTAATTTTAAAATTCTGGTTAACGATTCTTTATTTATCTCCGGCAGGATATGAAGTGTCGTCTGTTTGACTGAAACGGTTCTTCTGTAGCGATGAATTCTTTCCCTTCTTTAATAATAATCTGATTTCTAAATACATTCAAGTGTGCTTCACAGTGTGGTATTAAATCCATACCGTCCTCTTGTGCATTATGGGCCGTGTCTGTTGATGATGTTGTTAGGACGTTGGCTTCCAATTGCAATCTTGACAGGGCATCTGCTACTTTATTTGTGCATCCTGGCCTATAAATGAGCTCATAGTTAAATTTTTCAATTCTTGCCTTCCACCTTTTTAATTTGGCATTATTGTTTCTGTTGCTTAGGCTAAAGGTCAGCGGCTTGTGATCTGCAAGAATTTTAACTTTTTTCGCACCGTACAAATAATTTCTGTGGTTGTCCAGTGCCCATATTATTGCCAGCATCTCCTCTTCATTGATAGCATAGTTTTCTTCCATTTTATTCAATGATCTGGAAACGTAAGCAATTGGACGATCTTTTCCTATTTCGCCTTGCGATAGGACGGCTCCTATAGCTTGATTAGATGCGTCCGTTGTCAGTACGAACGGCTTTTCGAAATCTGGAAATGCTGGTATTTCTGATGAGGATAATAAATCCTTCAAATTTTTAAATGCTTGAAGTTAAGGAAATTTCTTTGTTCAGGGAAATTTTAACTTTTTTTGACTGATTCGCTTTTATCTGGCCTTTTTCACCTCTTGTAAGGTTTTTTAATGGTTTTGCCACCTTCGCAAAATCTTTTATAAATCGTCTGTAATATGAAGCAAGGCCTAAGAATCCTTTAAGATCTTTCAGATTTTCAGGTGCTTTGATGTTTTTAATTGCGACGATTTTCTTCGGCTTAATGCCATTGCTGGTGATAACATAACCTAAAAACTCCGTTTCTTCCTTTAGGAACTCTGTTTTATCCAGATTAACTTTTAATTTCGCTTCCTCCAGTTTTGCAAATATTTTTTCAACATTCTCCAGGTGTGCTCCGTGATTTTTCTTCCAAATATGATGATGTCATCAATCAATGTATACATAGCAAATTTTGCCTATATATTCTTTAAGAACATCGTCAATCATCCTTTGAAAGATGGCCGGTGCGTTTTTGGGTTCAAATGGGAGCTGGTTGAAAACGCCGTTTTGGGGATGTCGGCTTCTTTCATTCTGATTTGGTGAAATCCGGACGTCCAGTCTATGGTAGTGAAATATTTAGAACCTCCGAGACTGGCTATTGTGTTTGAGATATCCGGTATTGGATATGTATCTGACGTTGTTATTTCATTTAATTTCTTAAAATCAATCATCATACGGTACTTTTTTACTCCTGATGCGTCCATTTTCTTTTCCACAATCCACACCGGTGAAT